CGGAATGGGGATGCGATGGAGATTGATGCTTTGGAATTCTTATGTAGTTGGTATGGGTAGTACACCTCTGTGTAGTAGGTGCAGGTGGCCTACTTCAGGTGCATTGTAGGAGATCCTTTGCTAATACCTGTTGAACCGTATTCACCTTGTATGAAGTCGGCACTTCTTATAGAAGGCAATGCCGCAATATTGACTTTGAACCGCAATTTTGACCTTGGGCAGCGATTTTGACCTCGGGCGGCGGTTTTGGCCTCAGGCGACGATTTTGACCTCAGGCAGTGATAAGAATTCAGTGTTTTTGCTCATTCCCCTCAAATTTGTGGTTTTTGATCAAAAAAATTCTCAAAATCGTGGCTAATGCGCCAAATCGTGGCTAGTTTTTTGCCGGATATCACCGCTTTTCAAAATATTGCCTATTTAGGTGATTTTTTCCGATAATATCGGAGTATACTTCCTAATTAGGAAGGCGGTGAGGAACTTATATATCATTTCCTTTTTAGGAAATATCGTAGAAATATCATAATAAAGTATCTTATTCTTACTACTTTTATTCACTACATTTATTATATAAAACCTTTGAGAAGTAATCTTTATATTTTAATCGCTTTTCAAATTATAAATTTAATTAACAAAGAACTACAAAATAATTATAACAACGAAAAGCTTTTAATATAGGATTATGTTAATTTAATTTAATTAAAAAATAATTTTTATTTTAGAAGAACTCCAATTTCATATTGGAATAATTAAAAGGAGTCTAATATATAAAAGAGAATTAAAGATTTAGAATATAATATAAATAAATAGTAATTAAGAACTTTTTTAAATAAGATTTAGAATTATTTAAAAATTATATAAGTATCATTAGAGATTATAAAAAAGACTTAAAAATAATATAAATAATAATTAATAGTTTTATAAAAAAATATAAATATATTTTTAATAATTAAAAAAAGTATTTAGAAGTAATATATATAATTAGACCTCGACAAAGCCCGCCATGGGTACCACTTTCATACCTATACCCAGCCTATGGGTCCAGTTTTGAAACCTGGCCCATGGGCCGGGTACCCATGGGCTGGGTGGTGGGTTCTTGGCAAACCCATGCTACCCATAAACTTGTATATTTTAACCTTAATTTCCTATTTAGGATATATGATTCTGATGAATAATAATGTATGTAATTCCTGTATTAGAATATCTAATGGATCAATTTAAATAAAATTTTCACTATATATAGATCCTATGCTAATTAGTCTATATTCTAAATTTAAATATTATACGACCGTATGAAAAGATTCTATTGAAGAATTAAAAAATTGAAAGGCTGTATGGGAATTTGATCAAAAATTTCCATACAAATGGGGGTGGAAAATCAGATATTCCGACAACATGGAAATTCTTTTTTTTTGTTAATTCTACAATATCCTATAGTTGGAATTGGTTTAAATTTTGTATAGTTATAGAATAGATAGTAAGAAAAAACTATACAAAATTTGAACGAATTCCGATCGTACGAAAATGTGGAATTCTCAAAAAAAGAAATTGTAATATTTGAATGTAGAAATATATATTTACTCCTAACACTCTATCGTTCTAATTTTTACAGAATATCTGTAATTTGTTTAAATTATTAAATAAATTATATAGTTGAATTATAGTTGGTAATTTATAAATATCTATACTAATATATTATAAATATATTAAAAAGATAAAATATTACCTATATATAAGATCTAAATATAGGGTTTAAACATAGTATATTTTAAAATTCTCTGTTTGTCTTGTTTGACCTACCCATCAAACCCGCATAACCCGTATGGGTACTACTTTCATACCCATGCCCGGCCCGTGGGTATCACTTTCATACCCATACCCTGCCCATGGGCGGGTATGGGCTACCCACGATGGGTAGCCCGCGGGCCGTGTCGAGGCCTATATATAATAGCAAATTAATCTATAAAAAAGTATAAATATACTATGAAAAATGAATTTATAAATAAATAAATAATAATAAAGAATTTTTAAAAAGATTAAAATCTACTATAAATTATATTAATATATTAATAAATCCTAAGAGAAGAAATAAATTTCTATAAGAAAAGATTATAGTAATTAGATAAAATATTAAAAATTAATATTTAAAAAGAAAGCTATAAAAAGCTTCATAGAAAATATTTTTAGAAGAAGAATAAGATTACTAATAGGATTATCTTCTTAGTAATAAAATACTAAGAGATTTAAAAGAAAAAAAACTATACAACGAAATATAAAATCAAAGAACTAATCCAACTTTATAAAAAAAAAGGATTCTTTTTTTAAATTAATATATTTTTATCTAACAGAATCTTTTGAAATTAAAAAAAGATTTATTTATTATAAAATAATAAGATTATTCTATATAAAGATAATAATAATAATTATAAAAAATATTTTTCTTTATTAAAAGACTTTTTATTAAAAGATTCTTCTATAAATAGAAGTTTAAAAATCTAATAAATTAATATAAATACAGTTTTATAGAATAATAAAGTTATACTAAAATATAGAAAACTAAAGTAATTTATTATTCTAAAGAATTATTCTTTTTTAATCTATAAAACTATTTATAAATAGAATATATAGTATAACTATTAAAAGATATTCTAAAAAATAGATTTATACTACTTTAATAAAAATAATCAAAAGAAGTTATTAATAATATATAATATATTTTTATTAAATATTTTAAACTATTAATAAAACTATTAAAAATTATTAGAAAATAAAAGAAAATCAATAATATAGAAAATATTTAAAAAATAGATATTAAAGAAAATTAATAGTTCAAATTATTTTTATATAAATAATAAATTCAAATTCTAATATACAATTTAGAAAAATCAAAATATAATATTAAAATATATGTAATATATTTATATTCTAATTACAAAAATATAAAAGACTTTAATAAAAATATAATTCTTAAATCACTTATATATAAAGATTCTAAAAAAGATTATAATAGAAGCAAAAAGAATAGAGAAACTTATAAAGAATATTAGATTTTATAAATAAATAGAATATTATATTACTGTAAGGAGAATGATAAACTTCTAGATAATAAAAAATAAAATATAAAAACAAATATACAAATAAAATTTACTAATATAAGAATAAAATCCTATAAAAATCCTTTATATTTCAAAATTTATTTAATCGCTATCGAAAAATATTAAAATCTTTAAATTAAAAAACAAAAAGACTATAATTTCTATAATTAACTATAGAAACTAATTTAGTAATAAATCAAACTATTAGATAAAAAAAAATAAAAGTTATCGAAATTACTTCTTAAATTTAAAAAACTTAATACATTAAAATCAAAGAGACTAAAGAGTTTATAATATATATTATAAATTAAGAAAAACATATTAATAAAAAAGATTACAACAAGTTTAATAGTAATAATACTAATTAGACTTCGGCACAACCCATTCCAACCCGGACCCAACCCAACCCAACCCAACCCAACGTGGGTTTTGGGTCCATTGCTTCGACCCAACAATGGGTTTTGGGTTATTACCTACAACCCAAAACCCATTGGGTAACCCATTAGGGCCCCAATATAGTGCAAATCAACCAAACAGCCCTCTAGTGTGTGACTACATAATTAATGCATTTTTTGCTTGTAATTTTGAGTATTTTCTTTACACAGCTTCTATACAACAAATCAAGGTTGAATGGAAATTAGGATACATTCGTTTAATATTATTTAAAATCTTCATCTGCCCTATTCTTACGTTTCCTTTCTGATGTCTGTATCTGAGTTGCAGTCTCTGGTAACTGTGGCTCCGTTACCTCCATCGCTATAGATATCTCTCTTAGTCTGTTATCCAATTCTTGCTCCTCCTCCTCCTCCTCCTTATCCTCATTCTCATCCTCTTCTTTTTTATTATTAATTAGATCAAACTCAGTATTATTTATATCCTTATTGTTCTGTTCTTTTGCTGATTTAATCTTAGCTAAACTAAAGAATTACTATAGCTCTTTTGTTTTAATATTATTAATATTAAATCTTGTTATATATAGAAACAATATTAGCTCTTTAATTGTTTTAGACTTTAAACGATTATAGTAGTAATATTTGACACGGTGAGCGGGGGGCCGAAAACGGCTCTCATTGCACCGCCGTCCTGCCGCCCTTGACCGCCTGCCCGTTTCCGCCATCCCATTACCCCTTTGGGTTTAGCGCCCTCGCCCGCATTCCCGTTCGGGTTTAGTGCCGCCGCTGGCCGCTTTTACCGCCCCCATCCAGTCTTCCATCTATAAAACACCGCTCGACCTCTTCGCAGCTTTGTCGACGCACTTTCTCTTCTTTTTCCTGTCTGGCCCCCTTTCTCTCGGTCCCCACCAAATTCTGTGCACTGGCTCGCCACCTGATGCATCGCCCCTTTCATTTCACCGGAGATGTCGCTCGATCCACCGCTCAGCCGGTTCTAGCCAGCGTTGCCTGCAACGCGGATCGGTCCTTTGCAAATTGATGTTTCAAGATCATGAAGCCCTCGCCATCCTGTGTGCTATGATACCAGTACTTCTACCTACTTTGATTGTACTACTAGCTCTCGAGAACACATGTTGTTTGCGAGCCTTTCTCGCTGAGCGCTTCGCTCATTCTGCTGGCTTTCTGCTCGGCCGGAGAACAGTGTCTCGGAAATCCGCGACACGCACGACTTGATTTGCCACATTCCGTGCGAGGTTGCATCGTACAGTCTCTAGTGGTGAAGGCGCACCCTGGTCCGCTTGGTCGAGAGCGCCTCGGGGTAAGACTGTCGTCATAATCGGTTTCTCTTAGCCGTTGTTACCCAGTTGACGAGACCTCGGACGACAATGCCGTTATACGGACCAATGGCGAAGTTGCTGCATTCTTGTCTGGTCTCAACCGATGCCAAGTACTGCGTCACGAGGCCGACGATGGTCCATTCTACAGATGGCCCCTGACCACGCGCATACATGAGCAGATGGAGACTTGGCGGACAACCATTGTGGAACGGGGTTACAATGGGACGCCACCGAGGTGTGCGGAAGCTTTTGCCGATGGCCTTCGGTCCCTTGTTGTGCAACCGGTGTGGCTCCACGCCTTGGATGAAACGGCTCGGATTGAAGGAGGTGGACCGAGTCCTGTGCGCCGCCAAAGGGAATCCTCGTCTATAAGAGAGACGACAATCCCCTTCGAGGGCCCAATTAGACAGAAACCTATCAATCCCCCTTCTCCCTTCCCCTTGCACCTGCTTTGTATCCCATACCCCCATATCTGAGCGCCCCATTCTTATTCAGGTTCAAAACTACATCTGCAGGACCCTTCTGGATACACCTTTCTCAACATGTCAAGCACCAATTTTCGCCTGGAATCGTTTCGTCCATGGAATCCTTTCCAAGACAAAGCTCAGCCATTGCGCGATCCTCCCGGTCCTTCTCGCTACCCTAGTCCGATCTCAATCTCTACCACCCCGCCAAGCTCCAATCATAGCGACCATGGCCCAAAGAGCCAAGAGATTCATTCCCACAAACCTGAGCGACACCCCCTTCCTGCCCGCCCGCCGACGGAGGTCTGCTTAGATGGGTTGCATTCGGAGACTCAAACCACTCGACGAGAGTCGGAGGGCCTGGGTCAGACACTTTCCGCTGTTAGTGACCCAGAGCCTCTCAACTTCGAGAATATTTCTCAACCACAAAACATAGTTGGTGCCGATGAAGTCGTTTCTACAAATTTTGCCGATGGATTGCACTGGGAAACAGAGCATCATTTCCTCGACTTCGGATTGGATGACTCGCATCCTGTCGATTTTGCGGGCCAGCGTTCTCAAATTGTTGATCTTGGAATCCCTACTCAAAATGGAGAGCTTCCAAATTTTGAAACTATCGATCCTGCAATCCTGAATGACCATGCATCTGCGGTTGCCGAACAGGCTCAGAGAACTTTGAGTATCGCCGGCATCGCAACGCATCCGGAAGAATTTCCCGCGGAGTCCATTCGCTCTCAGAACAAAGTCTCGTCCCTCCAACACAGACGGAATTCAAAGGGGATGGTGGATACTGGGTGCCAAACCTCAAAAATAAAAAAAGGGTCGGGTTCGAGACAAAGGCATACAAGAAATGGTTCTGCTCGACCTAAGAAAGGTTCCGGTCATCGTCAGAGCATATCTTTCCCTACAGTTCGTGCCCAGTTTTCGGCCCTTTCAGTCGAAGACCGACTACAGTTCCTGTCCTGGCTTTTCGAGGGTGCGTTAACTCGTTGCTCTTCCGCGCCCTCCAGCGCTGCTGGTGCTTCTCCATCAAGCCAATGTGACGAAATAACCGACGACTGTGATCACACGAGCTTGAACACTCAGGTGGTTGACGCGGAGCATACCTCTTTGAGGAAGGGACTACCGTGGTCTGTGGAGGAAGATCACCTTTTGATAAAGCTAAGAGACAAGCAAAACCTCGCTTGGCCGGAGGTGGTCAAGCAATTTTCACGAGAATTCCCCGGGCGGACCGAGGGGTCAATGAAAGTTCACTGGAGCACAGCGCTGAAGAAAAGGCGATCTTACCCCATTGTTCTTATTCCTTGATATATTAACATTGAGCCATCACGGATAGAAGCATCTAGAATGTTTGAAATATTATGTGTGGGGTTGCTCATTTGCATGAGATGTATAGGAGAAAGACATGCTAAAGTGATATAATGTAGCAACGCATAGGAAGTCAGGTTCGTGGGGCCCAGGGCTTTGGAATTTGTTCGGTCATCGAATTTTAATTGTCTATCGAGGTTGATTGGCTGTATATTGTAGAGGCATACAGGCTCTCAGGCTGGAACAATCTCAACGCGCCCAACCACTCGAACTTAAGGAGATTTTCGAGGCGCTGGATACCTGGACTTGCGAGTATTCAGAATGGCGCATTAATGACAAGATGGTTGATTCTGAGGGCTATGTATTGCATGTTACAACACAGTTCTTCCGGTATGTTCAGATTTACCATACATGACATGTGGGTATGGGGATGGTGCTGAATGACCATGTACGACAATACAATGCGGGGAACTCACGGTATTTTACCCCTCATCTGAAATGACATATGCTCGGGCGGCTCAGGGTAGATTCAGGGTAGATTCAGGGTAGGCTCAGGGTGAGCTCAGGGTAGGCTCAGGATTGCCTCAGGGTAGGCTCAAGGTGGGCTCAGGGTGGGCTCAGGGTGGGCTCAGGGTAGGCTCAGGGTGGGCTCAGGGTAGGCTCAGGGTGGGCTCAGGGTAGGCTCAGGGTTGGCTCAGGATTGGCTCAAGGTGGGCTCAGGGTGGGCTCAGGGTAGGCTCAGGATTGGCTCAGGATTGGCTCAAGGTGGGCTCAGGGTGGGCTCAGGGTAGGCTCAGGGTTGGCTCAGGATTGGCTCAAGGTGGGCTCAGGGTAGGCTCAAATGATCCAGCGCCTCCCTCCTCGGTAGGTCAATCAATGGCCATACATCCATCAACGAAGAACCATGACGTTATCCTCGCGTCCCCGCTGCTCAAAAATCTCGTAGCAAAAAGCATAAGAGATAGAGAAGATTTACAAGTGGATATCATACGGCTGAGCTTTTGAAGCTGGTTAGAGAATATGGGCGAGCCTTCCACTGTGCAATCGTCATGGGAAAGGATAAAAGTTGCCTTCAATACTCCTATTGGTAGCTGACTCGGAGACGAAAATAGAATTGCGAAGAATCTCGGGTGTGTCTTGGAATAACGCAGAAGTCGGATATCTGGAGAGCCTTGACAATAAGTATCATGCGAGGTGATCAATGATGTCGCATTCTTTGAGAGAGAAAATCCCCAGACCAGATGTGCGACTATCCTATCAAGCCAGTTAATTACAGTAAAGATGGACTTACCCAATGCGGTGCCGGCGGGTCAGTTCTCTCCATGGACAAGCGTGTCTGACGTTTTTGATGGAAGCATGTATCCCTAGCATGCCATACTTTTCTCTAGCCAGAAAAATAGCGGCAGCAAGGGGTTCGATTTAGATTTTCTTATCAAAGTCGAGATGCTCTGATGAGTTTTTAGAAAACAGAGGAGCGATCTATTTTTACGATTTCGCATATGAATTTAGCAAAGTTGAAGCTGAACCGATGACAACGGCCCTGTCGGGGCATTCATGAGTTCTTTGAGATCATCACTAGAATGGTGGTGGAAGGGAACCTCTTTTCTTCAGCACATGGTTTTATTATCTTTGTGAGGGTCGGGCCTAGTATGAAGTGGCAGATTGACAGAGGAAACAATGAGGAACCAGCGGATGTGATGGAACCTAAAGAAATATTGGTGTTGAATTATGTGAGTGTTTTCAATATTCCTGTCAAAGGGCCATGGGACCTCTAACTCTAGTCACCAACAGCAAGCAGACCCCAGGGCAGCTGTGAGAGTCTCACGTATACATATATGAGAAAAGTGTCTTCCAGATAAAGAGTGAATATCAATAAAAGCTATATTCGAGTCTTAAAAGACATAACGCGAGAAAGCAAAAGAGACGAGTTTATTCGCGTTCAGAGGAGAGGGATCCAGATACACCATATGGGTCCCGAAGATCATATCTCTATACATCCTGTGTGCCCCATATATATCCCTAATAGCACCTGATGCAACTCCTAGGATACTCTTCTTGTCTTTTGCAAATTGAGAAACCTCTCTGCTAGGCCTTGAGAATGTTGGCAGTTCCAGTGTTTGGTCAGCGATCGCACAATGTGTCTTTCAGCCAGCTGGCGTATGATACAGCCCAAGCACCAGCGACCCGTCACAGCTCTACGAGGCATTCTCGGGGTTCCACCGTGAGACTCTTAGGATGCATGGTCGGTACTGTGGAGAACATTTTGATTACTCCTAGAACGAGAGAAGCTTTTCCTAGGAGCTTCTCCTGGATCCACAATCCAAGTGTAATCATCAACAAATCTGGCGGCAAATTTAATGTGGAATAGTTCCTGTATAAGTAGTGCTTCTCTTTCGTGCGAGCCTCCACTATTGCACGCATAACTTTGCATTATTTCGAACGTACAGCCGGTGCACTCAATTTTCTGCGTTACAGTATCACCATCGCACCACCCACAAGCACCGCGGGTCATCTGCCACCAGTTGTTGTACCCACGATTGCGAATAGTCGCCACACATCTTTTTCAAGGGGCTCAGACTAAAGGTCTGTGTATTATCCAGGTTTTTCTTCAATTCCTCCACTATGTCTCTTCGCTCCTGTCGGCCATGCCATACTTCGAAAATCCGATGCACCCGTGAAGTTCCTCATTGCCAAACTTGCATCAAGCGAGGTAAATGCTCGATGTGCGTCTATGAAGCAAGCGTTCCAGACCGCAAAAGAGTGTCAGACCGGAAGCCTGCTCTTCCAGAGCCACAGCCAAAGCGGCAATTGCAAAAGCAAGAACGAGCATCTGGCGAGAAACACATTCGATGGAGAGCTATCAAGCCGCAACCCGAACAGTCTTTGCGGCACAAAAAGAGAACAAATGAAAGGATGCAGCACGCCATAGAACCTACAAAGGAAGTAGATAACAAGGTTTTGGATCAAAGGTATTCTGGGAAGGACGGTTTGGCAGCTCATGAGACGCCCCCAAAGAGTATCGCGACTACAGTTGCGGAGAAAGCTTCGATTTTCCAACCAGAATATGGCCGTGCAGGCGATGAAGATATCCTTGAATGGCCGCGAAGCATATCAGTATCACAGCCAGCACAGCTCTATGCACAGATGACCCCTCCGGTAATCAATAATAACCTACGAGAAAGCCAAGATCTCAAGGCTGACTGTTGACAAGACCTCTTTGCCTCCACGACCGAACTTCAATCTTACAATATCCCAGAGACACAGTTGCGGCCCACATACGACCCACCAATTGTTGTTGGTATTGAGCTACCTTTTCATCTCTTCGATGCTTCCCATGGATTTAGGGGCTCTGTGGAAGGTCATATGTCGCCGTGACCGTGACTGGGAAGAGAGCTTTGTCTTGCAGCACGGTCAGCTTCAAAGGTGGCTGATCAGTGCGCGCAACGTTTTAACCAAGTCTGACGGGCTGCACACAGCCACATTGGCAGACATAGAGCTCCAAACAAGATACATTCTGTTCATAATTGGGCAATATACATCCCCTCACTCGAGTTTTCTCGCTGAAAGCTTCCAAAGCGAGCACCCTCCGTACCGGCCGTTTGGGGCGAGGGCAAGCATCGCGCTAATTTGTCTTGTCTTTGAGGGCATTCGGGTTGATGAAATGGAAGGATACGAATCAAAGGAAATATGGACACGCGACAAAACTTTCCTGATAATGATGGCATCCCGGCTAAAGGAATCGCCGTTGTTTGGCCCGGAAGTTTCAATGCTCCATTTGCAGTCTATGATATCAAGCCTTCAGAAGGCTTTCCAGTGTGAAGAAATTCGGGTTTCCAGCACGAAGTTCCGGGCTTTGAGGATTGAAAGCCAGTTAGAAGTGTTGGGATATTATCGACGAGCATTTCTGGCTTTCGACCCAACACTATTGCCAAAGATTTTGGCCTCATTGAGCAAAGCTGAGGATATCACTTACAGCACTGGGCAGAACCAGCTTACCAATATGGAGAGGTGCTTGGACAGAAGTAAGTAAATCGACCTTCAGGCTGATCCAGCGTTTAACATAAGTACAGCTAATTTGGCTTTGCGGCTGGCCAAAATTTTCACTTCACTTGCGCTAGATCGTTTGGATGCTGCTTTCCAAACTATCCGCGAGATTCAACAGTCAAAAGCTGATAAAGTCGTCGCTATGGAGATGATGCATGTCAAGTCATTCGAAGAAGCATACAAGTTGAACAGAATTGGTAAGTCCTCGTAGTTTGAATTGTAACAAAGAAATTTCTAATAGTTGCAGAGCCCACCATTATTCGTGTTTTTCATGTTTCACCCTGAAACTGAGAGCGGTTATCGGAAACCCAATATACCTCTTTTAATGCTCTTTTGAAGAACCAGAGAGCGGTGAATAAACACGACTGTGTGAACGATGAGGCTTTTGTATTAAAATGAACATGGGCAAAGCCCTACGCGCTGCAAACGAGACTATAAACCTGATTCTCATGGGTTACAATGCAATTGTTTCTCAAAATGGGACTTGATCCGATTTCTTATCTGCCCCGGCGATTTAGTCTCAAAGCACATAACAGTTGTCAGCTTCCATTGATTTTATGATATCGGTCGGTTGACAACTTCGGCATCATGTGCGTTATTCGTTCACGTGAAAACCCCGACCAGCTGTTACGGGCCCGAAAGAAAGGCTTCGCAGACGCTTAATATAAACGCTTCAGATTTGAGGCATAGTCAGTAGGGCTGCAAGAATGAAAATGAATATGAATATGATGTGTTCGCCAAAAGAGAGAGAGAGAGCTTGGGATTACCTTTACCAAGGTTAGGCTAGAAATGTGGCTGCATAATCCACAGTGTGGAAGGGTCTGAAGTTCTGATCCATATCAGAGATTGAGTTGACAGTGAGTTGATTCCCGGATCCATGTAGCCCCCAAGAAACCTGATGCAGCCTCTACAGCCTCGTGCCTATTTTTTTGAAAAATAAAGCTATGTTCCTGCTGACGGGTTCACTAACTCCTCTGTGAGGCTCTCACGTATGCATTGAGGTGGATAGCGTCTCAAGATAAACAATCAATATCAAGAGCAGCTAAATGTAGTCAATCCTAGATACAAGCCGTAGCGCAAGGAAGCAAGAGAGAGAGACTGCCTCACACTCATCTCATCTTTTATGCTTCGCGTATCACCCTGGCACCCCTAAGCTGCGTGTCCCTGGGCCATTTGTAAACTCCACTTGCCATAAACGGTATTGTTGACGGAATTCACTGAATGAGGGTGAACGCGGTGACTGAACACTGCGATGAAAAGTGATGAAAATGTGATTAAACTCGTTACATTTTTAAATTTTTAAATGAATAAACTCAGCCATTCGTATAGAAAAACCAGGTGAAAAATTTCCGTATCAGTAAGAGAGGGGCACTGTCTAACTAGTATATGTATAGAGCCATGTTTAAACACTCGATCGATATCACAAATTGCGGTTCATATTGTGGAAGTCCGTTCCCCTGTCATATTCACCGCCACCCGATTTCAAATTACCGACTAGAGGAATGAGTACGGAATGGGGCTCACGCTCAATTCCCCTTGATTAGAGAAAAGCAAAGAACTGAAGAACCAGCTAAATAATGTAAGTCCAATAAGAAAGTCATCGAAATCAATCTGTGCATATAAGTATGGCTTCCTCCTGATGTTGACCCGCCTTTAAACTTTATGGATTTCCCCTTCACACCTCAATTACCTATTTCACTCCCAAAGCCCCAAGTCAAATTCATAATCTACTCCCAGCAGCCTCCATAATGAAGTCTCTCACTTCCCTTTTGATGATGACTACCTCTACCATCGCGGCAACCGTCGCCAGTTCTTCCTCCGAGCACTTCCACCTCAAGTCCAGCGGCGCCACCAACCAAAAGCACAACAACCTCTATGTCTATGCATACCATACGGGCTCAGGCCTCAGTGATGCCGCGCTGACCAACGATGTGAACACTGCTAGCTCTGTTTACCTGAACGGCACAAATGCCCTCTTCGACTTCAACACTAAATTCCATTGGGGATTCGTGGTCACCAGCAACACCAAATACGCCTGTGAGCACCCGTCCTGGAAAGTCGCATACTAATTTGAATGTGATCTAACAACAGTTTCGTCCAGACTGGGATCCGATCTTGATAAACGCAGGCCAAAGTAGTACTGGATTCTCAGTCAAAGGCAACAACTTCCTGTGGTCAGAAGCCAGCGGCTTCGGTGGATGGCTCGGTAAGATTCCGACATCGTTACTCTTCCCCAAAAGGCGATCTCATCCTAATATTCAATAGTCTGCGACTGGAACCACAATGCGCCCCAGCTGTTCTACTTGAACCGCTCCTATGACGCCACTATCCCCTCCAGCTGCAGCAAGGTCCAACTGAAGGCCGATAACATCAAATATCTACGGTAGCATTGGACTTGATCGCTTTTTATAGCACTCAATGGTTGGCTATGACTTGATGTCCACTAGCTATTAGCGATTTGGAGCGAAGATGAATATGAAAGTACTTTGAATTCAAGCAAGGCTTGTTTCTGCTCTATGTAAATTCTGCTAGTGACGCAGTGATGTCATAGTAAAAACCACATTCAGAGGAAATAAAAGGTGTGATGCTAAGGCAACGCATCATATCATGATTGGATTGACTGACTCCACCTTGGAGATTGGAATTCACGTTCCCGCTAACCACTCTACCAGTGCTATGAACACAAATCTTGGCCCCCAGAGCTCCCCCGCTCCCGGAATCTCTGGTACGGTTTCTGGGAACTTATAAGCAGCTTCTAAGAGTGTCAGGGATATACATGAAGTATACAGGATGTTTGGAGAAATGATCTGCGGGACCCACATGGTGCATACGGGTTCCTCCGAACGCGAGGAAGCCTATTCCTTTTGCTTCCTCGCGCTACGTCTTGTATCTAGGGTCGATTATAGCTTTCTTTAATATTGACTATTCATATAAGTATATGTGAGATCTTCACAGTCTCTTTCGGCGATCCTGGGAACTGAAGTTCGTTCCAGGATATACGCCAAGAGCCCCAGGAGCGAGTCGACTCCTGGGGCCAATGATTGCATTCCCAGCTCCGGTTTCGTCATCAGCAAGAAAGAACATTTAATGAGGTACGGGTAGCAGTTTTCTCAACATGCAAATTCTCTCGTTCATGCAATGAGAGGCGTCGCAAGGATTTGCAAGATTTGATCTAAAGGGCGAATGCGGGCAGACCTGATTTAATTGAAACTCACATCTCTAATCATATGCTACGTTGAAAGGGGAACTTGAAAGCAAAGTCAACGTCGTCCAAAAGATTCCATTCGTATCTGTCTAACACCCTGCCATTAAACTGCGTGTTTGGCTCGAGATTATACATTTTCTTCCACAAAACAATTGAGATATGGGCATCCGACTTCAATTCCATCGCCGTATCATACTCTAAAAATTTGATCGTGTGGGGCTCTCCTGAAGCGTCGATGTAGGGGAGGGTAGAGGCGGGCTGTATGTGTTGATAAAGAGCATCCCAATCGAGTTCAAAGAAAGAATCCTCTACGGTACACATGTGTTTCGACCATATAATCTCCATTAGAGGATATCAATGTCTCGAGTATACGCCGGTGCCCTTTTACCAAATCACCGGCATGCCTGTATTGGGGTCTCTGTACATGTATAGTTCAATCAGACGCCTCTTCTACTTTCATTGAAGGTCTCAGAATCTCGATAAACAGAAAATTGTAGAGCTCACTGCCATCATAAAGAAATGTTACAAAACAAGCCAATATATAAACCCAATGTATCTTCATGGTCACAAGTTCAGAAATTGAGTGTTCACAACTATGGCGAAGCTTCAACGGGTTGACCGACCGTGACCTCGCTTTTTGCGGTCTAGACGGACAGACCCACAGCTCAACACATCCAGCACATCAAGCGAGGCTAGGAAAAAAGTCCATGATTTCGAGTGTGAGATTGTAGGCGCTTTTCGGTGATTCAACATTGAATCGCTCACAGGTGAGGCATCAGAACAAGAAATATGAGCCTGCCATTGCGGATTGAATAATATTCAGTGCCTCAATTTTAAAGACGTAAAGGATTCAACGGTCAGCCAACGTTTTTTGACCAACTAAGCATCCTGTTCTTCAACACGACTCTCACTCGTCTCTCTCGCTGAGAATCTAAACGCAAAAGATGTCGCTGCAAATAGTTGCAGTAAAAGAAGACGTGGGTTTCAACAGGCCTCAATTAGACAGGTGTCCTTCAATACTGCCCACCCAGCTTGTGACTGACAGAAGCCGACAAGCCTATAAATAAGTCCTCTACCCCCGGCAATTTGCTCTACAATTTATCCCCTTGACTTTGCAAAATCGAGCAGGCTTGTATCTGAGTCACTTGATAGAATTTTCCCCAGTGATCCAACACTGAACTTCCCACTGTACTGACATTTATAAGATACATCGTGGATAAGCAAGCCAGACAGTGCCTGTGAGAGATACAGGTATGATTCCCACCAGATTCACTGCCATTCTCTCCAGCCGATCAAAGAGACAAGACTTAGGCTGGCGGGTCCAAGTGTCTATGCAAAGATGTCTCCGTCACAGCAGCCGTCTGAACTCATCTACTGTACAGCCTCTGTGTGCGTCTTCCCAAGATACAGCGCGAACATCCGTGTCGCAGGTATGTGAATCTTAGCTTGACCTGTCTGAATTCTACTGATCCTGAAGACGATGCTATTTCAATAGAACCGAGGACAATTGACCACAATACACGAGCGCAAGAGTCACAGCTCTTTACCGTATCTTCGTCCCTAGTATTGGCCGCCAGAGTATGTGAGTCATGGATTATGTCGCCGATCTACAAGCTAATGAATGACAGTGAACCATTGACATCGCACTAGAGTGCCCCTGAGGCCACTGCACTCTTAGTGCTCTGCACGGGCCATGACCTACACACTATCCCTGGCCCCGTCGCTTCAAACCACGGAGCACACACTAGGTGAAGAAGAAAGGGCCAATAAAAGGTGCGTACATCCGATTGCGAGGCTCCCTGCATAGAGGCTTGAGACGTCTATTCTTCCTGGCAATGTGAGTGATTTATCGCTGTTATTGTCCAGAGGTATGAATTGACCTGTTATTTCATAGATATACGTGAGCATATATATACAAGAATGAGCGATTTCCAATCAACTTGGTCGTCCGTATAGACGCATCAGAGTCAATTCCGACGGTGGGCTTGGTTGCTGATCTGCACCAGCTTCATATCACAACAATCGCGTCCTCTTCTGCGCTATATCGTTTATCTGTGAGAGTTTTTGTGCTCCAAAACACGAACACCTCTACTGATTTTCATGCCATTGTACATAGGAGCAGCCCACTGCCACTGTGAAACATCCATGTTGGGAGTCCTATCGCCAGATCGCAGATAAGACCAAGGTGGCACTACGACGCGTGCCCATCGCCTCTTGCGCCTCGACCTCACCGCCTCCACACCACGAACGGCGGAGTGTATGAACCTCTCGCCGTCCCCATCGCGAGGTCTTATCTCATTGCGACTGTACAACTTCCTGTCACAGGTATTCCGTCACGCGCCTTTGGCTCTCAGAAGTTGCCCGGTGCACCCAGCGCGGCTTATTCGAAGCGACAGCCGGAGAGTGCGACGAACTGGATACAGCATCATGTCAAATGGCATGAATGGTGACTGCTTTGATGAAGACAATTGTAAATGGTCTCGTCGGTAAAACATGACCACGAAGCTAATTGATCGTTTCGTCTCAAGCGAGCGTTCTGCAAACTTTATGAAAAGGTAAATTTCAAAATCTCGTCCAAGTAGTTCAAGCCTTGCTGACTTGGATCGCAGAACAGGACACCCCTCTTATTCCCGTCACTCGGGTCGAATGCGAAGTGAGCAATCTTGTCTGCTCGAGCTCCTCGATGCCGATGCGATCGTATGCTGTCTATCCGTTCCCTGTGACTGCTCATATCGACGATGAGTCATTATTAGGTCCGCATTGTCTACCTCTGCCATTCTATTAGTTGACTCTATGCAGCAGGTCATGTTCTGATGTGTCGGCATTCGAATCACGTGAGAAAACAGCCTCTTTGCGGATTGATTCATGACGTGCAATGGATGGTCCTCATTTCCTCCGGCTGGCATCTCACGTCTCTTCAGTCCTGGAATTTCAAATGACCCGAGGAATGCTGGTGCTTTTGTCTTGCTTCAATCCGTTCATAATTTCGGCAGCAACAGAGATAGGTCTTTCAGACCTCCGAGGCGCAGTCTTGGCAAAAAAAGGTTGGTGTTTGAAATCTCGCTGAAGTGCAGAATAAATAGGGATGAGCTTAGTAAGGTCGTTGAGAGCCTTAACGATCATCAGGAAAGAGGGTGCTGATTATTCCTCGGGCGCACTAGTAACATTGCGACCCTCTTTTGTTGACAAAGTCTCACAATATGAACAATATTAATGCGCATATGAATATGTCGTATATTCGCATTGCTTTATTCCTTTCGAAACCATCCTCAGCCGAGGATCACGCGCCCAAAAAGAATCGCTCGTGTTGTGATATGAGGCTGGTGCAGATCAGGAACCAAGCCGCACCGTCGGAATTAGCCCCGAAGTGTCTATACGGACGACCAAGTTGATTGGAAATCAACTTGGCTCATTGTTGTATATATAGGCACATGTATCCCTCTGAAATAATAAGTCAATTAATACCTCTGAACAACAACAGAAAGCACAGTACTCCGTTTATGCGAGTCAATCGGAACGGTGTTTGAACAGTGATTTCCGTCAGCTACCACCCATATGCACCGCTCACGAGCCACAGCCTCCGACATTTTGGCTTATAATAAATTGTTCAATGACTGTGCGCCAGCATCAACACATGCTTGACCGCTTTCAATTTCTGTGGGGCTAATATATCATTGTTTTGTTCACGTCCAAGCTTGCCCGGACGCTAGTTCCTGGGTTGCTTAAATACTATCCGATCGGCAGATGACAAGTAGGAATGGATGTGTATCACCAATCAGAAAGTGAATATAATTTGTCTTATGGTGGCCCTCACAATTGCTTGGAAATCATGATCATGCAGTCGTTGTTGTTATTGCAAATACAAGTTTCTAGATTACCTAGGAAACCCCAGCTATTATCTTCTTTAGGAATACCAATGACGTAATTTATGACTGGAAAAGCGCCACCCTTTTGAAACTGCCTACTGGCCTGTCTAGGCAATATAGAAGACTGGAAATATGGGGAAACACTGAGAATATGACAAAATTTTGAACTAGCAGGTCTCTGACACATAGTCACGCATTGATACTATATCCTCAGACTTGGAACCAACTCTCTTTCTTGATTGAGCTAAGGCATTATCTGAATAGATTTAACCTATTAAGGCATATACAAGAACTTTGTCCCTTATTCATACCCATGGGAGTATCACTGTGTCCCTCGACAGATGTTCCAGTAAATCCTCCGCATTTAGCAGATTGCTCGATTCTGAATTGTCGAAAAATTTCCGACGACAGTAGGAAATGAGCCAATTTAGGTTTTTCCTGTCACCTTCTTTTATTTGGCCTCTGATTAAATTCCAAAAGAGCGTGCGTACAATGGGAACACGAGAAAAAACGTCGGTTCCCGAGCTTTGAGAAATCATCCTTGCCAGTGGCCCTCGACAAAAAGCAAATACCGACCTCCAGTGATCTGGGCAATGGTCACCTGGGCTCAACTTTGGCCCTTTGACAATTATCCTGTGCGAGTGAGTTAGTGAACAATTGTTTGAATATCAGGTGGTCTTACACCTTGGCGGGTTCGTTGTCCGGCAGTATGCCGCATCTGTCCCATAGCATGTTAGATGAATATGCAATAAGTATCGCCAAGATCGTTCGCTATACGTACCCTGTCGTGCTTAACAATAGCAAAATAGATCCCGGTCTGAGACTCACGAGGGCTTCATGGGATAAAATCGAACCAGCGTTATGAATTGTCTGGCGTCGTTCGGCCCTATCTATATCAGTATGAAGCAGGCTCTAAAACCAGTGCGAGGCTTACGGCTTGCCATCATTTGCAAAGAACAAGTATATCATTGGGTCAGTAGTATTCAATTCATCACCATCAAGGTTGATGCACGCTCCAGCGATTGGCTGGAGCAGAGTCTTTGTCCTGGGCTGCAACAAAAAAGAGTCCATTATTGGCCCATATACATGTTAAGGTGGGCTGGAAAAGTTCTTGCCCAGGGCCTCTTTGGGAGTTTATATCACTTATTATATCAATCGACGGGACAAGCAAAAGCAAACGGGATGAAGACGCCGATGATAATGGTCTTTGCTATACAAGGTTGGAGGGCCGGCGAATGGGCTTTCGCGGGGTCTGCAAGCGCCCCTGTCTTCGATGCGCTCGATGAGGTTCAGTGCACATCATTAATAACTTGGCCATCACCGTACTTGGAAACAACAAATACCAATTTTCTTTATCATTACTAGCGCCACTATGGTAAATTAGACAGTGACAATCTTTCTTAGAAAATCTGTGAGTCGCCAGGCGCTACGCCCTACATGTTGCGATCCCCATAGTACCACTGTTGGTTAGTATTTAACGCTAAAATTCGCGATCTTACCTCCTTGTTTTCGTCTTGTGATGCGTGTAAAGCACGGTTGACGGGACTGGGTAACACGGCTATGTCTGGCCATTACTGAAAAATACCGTTATACATTTCCCGAGGATGATACCGACAAATGACCAATCAACGTTCTGTGAGTGCAGACCTATTGATTTCGAACTCCACTCTTACCCCAACGATTAGCCCAGCCCCTCTCTACTCGCTATCCACCCTGTCAACTCGCTGTCCACCCTCTCTACTCGCTATCCACCTTGTCGACTCGCTGTCCACCCTATCTACTCGCTATCCACCCTGTCGACTCGCTGTCCACCCTGTCAACTCGCTGTCCAATCTGCCGGCTCGCTTTGTGCTTGTCTTGCTTCCTAATCGGTGCGCTCCATGGCGGTAGTCGGCGTTTTACTTACTGTAAATGGTAGTCACAAAAGGTGGACAAACGGCTACGATGGGATTGATGATCTCACTTTACGCCGATTGCTAGTGGAGATTAATTTCGCCTCAAGATCTATAGAATTTGATCTTTCGGCGCGGGAGATTGAACGAAATTCTCCGGAGAAGCCCACCTCGAGCACCTCGGAGGGAACACTGGCCAAGCCACCTGGTCTTAGATCTCAAAAGGCAAAAGAGACAACCATACGTCGCGGAGACGAACTAAAGAAGATTTGTCTGAAAATCCAAAACACGGCTCATCAGATCGAGAAAAATGGGCTGTCTGGTTTTGCCGTTGTTCCTGGATCGGAAAAAGCGCAGCTGCTCATCACGTCCCTCCACGATATTGAAAATTCCGTCATCCCAGGACATGATAACTGGTATTCGAATACGTACAGTGCCATGCTATGGATAGTTTTAACACGTGCTGGACCTGCCCATATGCTATTGATTCTCCATAGTATCTCTCCACGCCAATTTCGAAAGCTTGGCGTCCATGTAGCTGCGAAAATTGTTCAGCACGTGGTACAAAATCGAAGCAAGCTGTTTTGCGCGCCACTTGAAAATCAATTTCGCGAACTTTCATCCGGTAAGGCTAACAATTGTTGTCTCCGGTAACTATACTAAGTATGGCAGAGCTTGGTCGATGTCAAAAAAAGCGAAAAGAGCCGACTCCAACGTAGGTTGCACGTGGAAAAAATCACCCCATGCCTACATGAGTCGGTGCCAATCTTGTTCTACGTTCGCTAATACTGCCATTGAGAAACTTCACAGTGAATTCGATGGTAAGCACAACATTTTAGTTGTAGGTGGTTCGATTCTCTTGTCGCTAAAACCCTGTGTCAAACTCCAGCACCAGTGCCTTACAGACATCATATCAACAGCTCTCGTGAAGAGAGACGAAGTCTTCCGCCGAGATATACGGAAACTGAACTGCATGGAAGCACAACGGAAGAGGACGAGAATGGCTTGGAAGCAAACAATCCCCTGGGTCTGACTTGCTTACAGCAGTCGAATGATTTTCATCAGGCGTTCGAACCTCAAAAAGGCATGGCGGTTGCTGCAACATATGATATGACATCTGCCATGATGCAGCCCCACACCCATCAAGTGGGCGTAGACAACTACCAGCTCCACGGGCTGAATGACCAACCGCAGCTAAACCCTTCATCGGTCTACATCTCGGACTCAACCAGATCCCCACTTTTCGCTTTCCCATGTGGTAAGTACGCCATTATCACTTTGTACGAAGCGTATTTGACAAGGCCAGATTCAGCAGCCATCTTCTGTACAGGTATCTCGATTGAGGACACTTTTAATCGAAACTGCACGATGATTTATGTGAGGCCATATGAATCGACAATATTTGCTGTAGTACAAGACGGAGATATACCAGCACTTACGGCTCTCCTGAGAAGCGGGAACGCATCGATTCATGATGTAGACCCCTATGGTCTGGGGCTGCTCTACGTGAGACTATTTTTATTCCTTGCCTTAAAATTTTGATTTGCTGCTAACAAATTGGCCAGTATGCATCATACTACTGCTGGAAAGCCCACGGCGCTGGCAGGGCAATGCACGTTTGCTCCTGGTTGGTTTCTATTGGGGTAAATACCCACTGGATTGACGACATTGGAAAGTAGGCTTCAATCCTCCCGGCTATTTTAGCGCAACTGATTTAACCTTGGTTTTGTAGTACCCCGATGGAATCAATGCTTGATTCTGCTTTGATATCCACCGCAATTACAGGTGGTTCCGCGCTGGAATTTGGCAAATGGTGTGAGGATATTGGGGTTCTCTTTGATTTGACCCTTAGCGAAAGTGGGACGCAGTATTTGAATACCCGGGGTTTTACAGAACTTCACCAAGTACTACTGCGTATAAACCAGAAAGTGTCCCTGGATGACTATCTTCGCCCATTGAAACGAGATGATCTCGATACCCTCATCAATTGCGCTGATAATCGTGGTAGAACACCCCTCATGTGGTCAGTCGAGTTTGGCTGGTCTAGTGCAACGCAGATCCTATTAGGCTATGGTGCCGATCCCCATCGAGCCACGAACACTAAGCGAGGAAGCTCTACTTTACTGCACCTTGCAGTTGCTGGACCAAGGTCGCAATTCTCGAGAGCGGGTTTCTTAGACGTCATTGACCATTTGCTTCAAATGGGAGTCGATGTCAATGCTAAGGATCATGAGGGATGGACGCCACTCCACATTGCAGCGTCATGGGGAATATGTGATCTCCGAAATCTCTTCAGTCACCCTCTCTTGAATTGGAGCGTTCTTACCGATGATAACATGTCTGTAAATGATTTGTCTCCAGTCGAGCAATTCTCCAATGTTGCACTAGCTAGAATTCACCAGAGCTAGCAGACTGAAGCTTCCCTCGGGGCAGTTGTTCATATACATTTTGAGAATATTGCAGCCCAATTCTGACAATGTGTCCTCATCATCGTTCACGCTACCTCGGTATATTGGCCCGGTTCTGTCCCCATCCAATTCATAGAGACAACCTGAACGCCTGACCAGGCATATATAATGATGGTCGATTTCAGTCTCAGCGGCAGGAGGCTCTGAAGAGCCACTCAAAGCGGCATTGCGATAGATTAAATCCAGGTCAGGCGAATTTTGCAGATATATGGCGGGTTCGGCTGATATCTCCTTCATAAGACCATCGATGAAGGAGCCTGGATCTATTTACTTTAGTTGGTATTATATGCCATGCGGGATGAAGCGGAATGTCCTACCAAGTTTCCTAGTGTCCAAAGTGTTGCAAATGCAATGCAGGATGGCATAAAGTCCGCAGGCATTGTTTATAGTCTGCTTCAGCCAAAGAATGTCTTCTTTCGAAATGCTATGTTCGATTCTCTGCTCTGCATACGCAGGACAGTCTGGCAGGATAAGGATCAAGGCTTCGACAGGATTTCGGATATTAAAACGAATGTTCTCTAATTGATCTGTTTCCAGAGACCAAATATCAATGAATTTGTAAAACTGAGGAACACCCAGGTTGTGCATCAAACTCGTGAATATTTGAGGATCGGATTCCAGAGGAATGAAGTGTTTCTCGTACTCCATTCCGAGTTGCTGGATCCTTGGTCGTGGAATATTAATTTGGATGAGATTTATTGACAGTCTTGCCGTTGGGATGATCGTTTTTTTGAATATCAAGTGGTTGGGCGGGGTAGAAGAGGGTTGGGTTGTACCTTTTGGCAACGCGTACCCAGCAACGAGTACATCACGTGATATCTTGTTCGATCATATGTAGGCCTCGCCAAAACCCGCCCACCGCCCAAACCCGCCCGCGAAAACCCAGCCCATGGGCCGGGTTGGGTCTTAGTCAGCAAACCCATGGGCGGGTTGTCATCCGGGAAACCCAACCCAAGACCCAAATGGGTACCCGCGATTACCCAAAAAAGCAAAAAAAGCTGACTGATCATTTTACACTAAGTTATGCAGTAATTTTCGATTATCTAATTGTTTCGATGGCGTAACTACTAGCTTCTAGCTGTGAATATTTGGAAAGGAACATGAAGGGCTTGAAGAAATCAAATTGGCTAATTATAAAGACTAGTATACCTCGTAACCTCGCAGTCTGCTGGAGGGCATTGTTACCCGACCAGAAGATCTCTTCTGGCTTCTATCACTCAATTGCATGATTGGAGGCGGAAGTAAATCTGCTTCGTCGTAATCAACCACGTCTTCCTCCACACTCTCTTCTTCTTGTTCAGGTTCGTGAATATGTCTGTGTATAGAGCTCCGGCCGGTCTCTACCACCGTACACTCCACTTGGTATGTCTCCTCTGGCTCAGAGTTACCCTCGAGATTCTCGCTCTCTTCAATCTCCTCATTGTCGCTGATCGGCTCTGCATCCTCTTCGATTGCCTTCAACGCTTCATCCTCTTCAAGTGCCTCTTGGCTCTCGCTCTCCAACGGTTTCTCCAGACGAATCAATTGCTGTCCCTCTAGTGTGAGCTTTTCTGAGCACATGTACATCATCAAGTCTTGAATGGTCCCTTCGTGAAGAGACCCTCGGCGATAATGACAAATGTCTCGTGCGCTATTGAAGAGCCTTTCTACACCCGCGCCGGTGGCAGGGACTGAAAGCAAGTCTCGTGCGAGCCTAGACAGCACTGGGAATTCGCGCTCGTGTTCTTTCCAATAAAGTCGCGGCGACACAGGGACATTGGCTATTCGAGGTCAGTCAGTTGTTCCAGTGTGTTGTACTGATTGCTCGTGCCTTCGCGAAGATACTGGTCCACTTCGTCATACTCTACTCCTTCATGGAAAATCGATGCACCAGGTGGCTCGAGTAGCCGATCAAGCTCTGTGCTATGCGAATTGGAAGATCGCTGGACCGTACGGAATAGCAACTCGGGGTTCTGCTGCTGATACTGTGTGAAAGATGCTCTCAAATATTCACAGTACCTTTTTGACGTATCTTCATGGCAAGTTGAGTACTCTCGAGCATCAAAAGCACTCAGTTTATACTGAGGGGCAAGTAATGTTCCAGTGCCATAGAGAAAACCGTGGTCGCGGTAGGTTTTTTCGTAGTACTCTTTCAGCTTCTGCCTCGCCACAAGCAACGCGCCATACATGTCTTTCTTCCAGGGTGTTGTCTTTCTCTTCAATCTTCGATTCGACCGTTCGATATGCTCCAGTAGTTTCCTATACACAAGGAACACACTATGGATTGTGACGTCTCTGGTCTTCATCAGAGCCATGGTGAACTGAAAAAACGGTTTGGTCAAATGAACGAGGTAGTCAATTTGCCTCCATTCAACGTCGGTAACCTTGAGCTGCGAGTATTCATGATCGCAGCAGTATTTGTCGATTACATTTCTCAGCCGGCGTGCTCGGCGAAGCATCAAAAAAGTTGAATTCCAGCGTGTCTGAACGTCATGTAACGGAAAAAGCCGAGTACCACCTGATTGGAGGCATAAAAAAGCATCACGCCGTTGTGGGCTTGCGTTGACAAAGATCGCAAAGGATCGAATCTAATGCTGTCAGTGCTCTGAGTATATTGAAAAAGTGAATATCTTGGCTCACCTTTGTCAGTGTATGAGCCACGTCTCCATAGTTGATCGAATCCTTCAACCCGTGGGCTTGGGTGTCGGACCAAAAGGCTCTGACTTCTTTATTCTTAGGTGCTGCCCTGATATGTCCCAGTAGCTGTTTCAGGCAAAGCTGGATCACATGAGCCATGCAGGGAACCCGGACTATTGATTCCCTGGAGCTAATAGCTCCGATAGAGAGCAGTCTCTCTTGTAAGGCGCGTATCATGGTGTCGTTGTTGGTAGCGTTGTCTGTAGTAACGCTAAAAATACGATCGAGAAGTTTTCGTTCCTCCAGTAACCGGTGCAAAACATCACTAAGGTTGTTGCCTGTATGAGGACCGTGCAACGGCTCAAAGCCGAGGAGCATTTCCCTATAGTTCCAATCTTTGTCGATGAAATAAACCGTGATTGCCATGAATGCCTGCTGAAATGGACTGGTCCAACAATCTAAAGCGAGGGAAACCTTGGCATCTTCAGGCAGATCTTGTAACTGTAACTCTTGCTGGCAATTGACTGCATCCCGGAGCCGTCTCCGCAGGGTCTTCGCTGACGGGAGTTCCAATTCTCCGGGACCAGAATATAAAAGGCTGAGTAGCCTCTGAAACACCGGGTTCTCCACCGTCTGGAAAGGCAAACGAAGACACGTAATTGTCTTCAATATCTGCTCCTCGATTTGAAATGTTGTCACTCTGTGGACACTGGGTGAGTCTCTCGTGAAATGGTTCTGCAAAGAATCCGAAATCAATGACTGATTAAATCCCTTTTTCTTCCCTTTACGACAAGTATTAGACTTTTTGTGTCTACTCATGGCGCTTGTCCCATTCCCTTTATACTGTGGATGATCAAGCACAGTGAGACAAGCCTGGCAGATGACTCGAGGACGCCCAGAATCAATATCAGCCACCTGGTCAAAGTGTTTCCACACATCAGCGTGACGCGATCCGGTGGACCATTTGATCTGGGATTGGCCTTCTCCGTTCAGCTTTTGGCCGTACTCTGTTTCCTTCCACCATTCAAGAAACTCTGTCTCTAGATGCGACTCATACGCAATCCATTTCTTTCTGTGCTGAGGTCCCACACGTCGGAGTGTCGCTGGAGGTCTTCGAGTAGTTATGTCGTAGGTTTTGCGGGGTCCTGTCAAAGGCTGCGGTCCATCTTAGTATACATGTAGGTAGCGCCGCAACACTCAGAGGCTAGTGGAAGGGACCATTTTCTTACGGAGGATTGAATGTCAGAATCCAAGAAGCCGTCAGATGACGGCTCAATGGAGAGCAGTGGACTGAAAGGCCGATGTATTGATCGCGATGATGAGGAAGAAGACGCCATACTGAAGTAAAAGGCCACTGGTATTGGAAGAAGGGGGGATTTTTTTTCATCTTGAGTACTTGATTGTGGATTTTGTTCCAGTCGCGTCGTGCGTTTGGATCTATCTATTCCTGAGTCGCGTAAAACCCGCGGGTACCCAAAACCCAACCCAACCCAACCCAACCCGCCCGGAGATGAATACGACTTTGGGAGGACACTGAGAAGGTCCAAATCACTGATTTTAAATGATCGAACTAAGGATAATATTTTTGAGCTCACTCGAAAGATTCTCATTGATGAATTTACATAAAATCATCAATGTGGCCTGTAATCCCTTCAGATGTGTAAAGCAGGGCGATGGGGGCAGTGATCTACTTGTAGAGGATATATATTTCCAGGTCGATGGCGTTCATTGTTTCAGTGTAATATCCACTCAAAAGCGTGACAGAAATAAATGACCAAAATTACACTAGATGACTAATCAAGTTTATCCACGATTTATGCATGTTTTTGGGTATTTTGGGCAACCCGCGGGTACCCGCCAAGAGCCCATGGGCGGGTTCATCAAAGCCAAAACCCGCGGTGGGTTGCCCATGGGCGGGTAAGGAAATTGAAAACCCAACCCAAACCCGCGTTTGGCGAGGTCTAATCATATGCTATCCCCTGCGCTCCCGGGGTTGACTAGTCAGCATCTTCGCACGGGGAAGTGCGGCCGCAGGCATTACTTTCCACGGTGGACGGAAATGGACCATTAAGCGAGGGCCTTGGCATTCATTATGTAATTAATGCTTATATACACGGTGCCTTGTTTGTGATAGTGTCAGTGGTTGATTACCACTAGAGCCAGTTTCGGCTTGGATATACAGAAGAGGAGCTTACTAAGAAGCAAGCCCCTGAGTCTGAGGATGTATGGATGTACATTTGGAGAAGAACAGCTGTTTAGTGATAATCCATTGCTACGTACGAGACTTTACGGATCCATCGATCGTCGACAAACTGATATCTCTGTCATGTGGGTGAGATGGCAATAAAAGGCTCGCGCTAAGGCCGTGAGACGTTGACCACTCACCTTCACCGCCCGGCCGCATACGACACAAACACCCTCATCAACGCTCATCAACGCTCATCAACGCTGATCAACGCCCGGTCAACACATCCACGACGCACCAAAATACTGACCATTTTGTTCGCTCCACGCCCTGATGGTAGATACATTCTATTGCAGCGGGAAGACTAGCCGACCGCAAACCATAAAGACAGGAGGGTTGGGAATACCGCTCTCGATAACGAAGGTTGAATCTTGAAGTTATGATTCTGGAATTGGTTTGCTTCTACCTAGGGCTCATTTTATTTCTCCAATGATGATTTTGAAATACAAAATACATCATCAAGATGGTGCGCAGGTCTTTGCTTCTTCGAGTACTCTTGATACTCGAATACTGGTCC